GATGTTGAGGTGGCTCATGTTGTGTTCAGTACAGGAATCTCTACACTGAGTGCTTGAGAGTATGTCTCCAAAGAGTATGTCTCCTTCTCTGCCCCCCCTGCTTAGCCACAATCAAGCCAGCTCTGGCAGAACTGTTAGCTAATATACCTGCCCCTTTTCTTTAACTTAATGGTACCTAATGCTTAAAGGCAATGTCACTTTTTAAGGCTTAGTTTAATCTTTAAAGTGGCCACATGCCAGATGAAATGTAGGATCCAAATAATGGGTAGTTTCAGTCACTATTTGTCATCAAAATTTTGCTTTGACAATAATTAGTCATAAAAATGTGATTTGGTCATAATTAAAATCAGTAAGTCAGTCACAAATCCAGGGCCAGAATAAAGCCCTGGATGTTTGTTTCTTAGTGCGCCATTAGCACCTCTGTTAATGCATCTGCTGAGTGTGATCGAGTATTTCCCTGTTGTGTATGGCCAGGCAGAATGTTCCATGGTGTGTACAGCCTGAACAGTCCCACAGATGTCAAATACCAGGATAGCACCACTCAGGGCCTTTGTGCGTGAGGCAGCAGGTGGTACTGAATGGGGCGATTCTTCTCAGGGCCAGCAGTTGCTGCCTGTGCTTTTGGCATCCTTTTAACCGCAGGTACAACAAACCTGGCTCTACCAGGCTTTTCCAGTATCTGTCCACAAACACTGCCTTCTTTTATAGAGGGCATTGCTTCTGTTCTTTGCCTTTCCATAACAGCAGATGCCTGGTTTTGCTCTTATCTCGGCTTTTCCCACATGTTTAACCAGAGACCTTTTTTTGTTTTTTGTTTTTTTCTTGCATGAAGACGTTTTCAGTGTAGCTGTTGCTTCTGCAGCAAAATGATTGATTTGCTACAGGGCAATTTGGATGCTCTGAGAAGAGTCATGGCAAAAGCATGGAATCAGAGGCACATGCTGGATCAGCAAACTGATAGCAGCTTCAGCTGTTCAGCAGAGAAAGTGGTTAAAGCACAACATGCAGCTAATTCTGCAAGTCTGAGCTTATGACTAGGTTGGTGAAAGTGGACGAAAGGATCATATTTCAGATCATGATAGTGCTTTATTCTGGAACTATCACAGCATCACAAATAGCTTGCTGACATCCAGAGACGTCTTGGTGGCTGGCTTACAGTCACTAATGCTTTCTATTTGCCAACAAACACTCTAGAAATGCTTAGCAGCTAGCCTTATCCTGAGAGAATGGGCTTTTAAGATTGATGGAAATAGCGTTTCAGAGACTTGCAGACATTTTAATGAAAATTAATGTTCAGTGATTAAAAATATCCATATAATGTGAGTACGTGTGACCAGATGAAGTTTGAAGAAGTTTGGGCCAAAGCTGAGCTGGGACTGATTAACAGATTTTTAAAAGAGTGCAGAATAAAATTTCTGCAGCTTCTTTCTTCTCTGTTGAACAGACGTTAGGTATAGATTTATAGAACATGGATTTAGGACCTTAGTGTGGACTCTGTGTAGGTGTGCATGCTGCCAAGCTCCGGTATCTTTCATTGGAAGTAATGGGAAGTACACCAGGTGTTAGGCTGGACTAACACGAGTCTTGGTCAAGCCTGTTACCAATCTCTGCTCTTTTGGGTGCAATTGTGACTGTGATCCTGATCAAAGCAGAAAATTGCAGTTGCTTAACAGATTAGATTTTGCACTTTATTTGGCACTTGGCCTCTTGAAATGTCAAACTAGACACTAGTAGATGTGTAAATAGGGAAGAAATTGCTGCCTGTCAAAGAGCACACTTTACCTGGGAGCCTCAGGACAAGTATTCTTTGCATTTCTTTATGCTCTGTGCCTTTATTTGACTAAAAAAAAAAAAAAAAAAAAAAGCTTGGGTATAATTTCAAACAAGGGAATCACAATCTTCAGGAAGATAACTGAAGTTGAGCTATAAAATTATGGCACTTGGTGCGTGAGCTGGCACAAAGCACGCTGTGCCAATGAGAACAAAGTCCTTCCTTTTCCCAGCCCTCCTCCTGATCACGTGGTTCCACAACTGCTAGGGCTCTGCTGCTCACACTTGAGTTAGTCCAACTCATGTCCCCCCTTTGTTTTTGCTGGATGAGTGCATTCAAATTTATGAACTATGATTTAGAACTTGTGTAAGGCAAGTGGGAGAAATGCAGTGAGATTTAGGAAAAAAGGGAATTTAAACAAAGCCTTTGCTCTCAAACAAGCTCGTGATCTGACAAGGATTATTTTAACTTACTAGAAATTATCCTTTGTATCGCATCCAAGCTAAGTGTTTACCATTAAGTACTGGACATTCAATTCTTAGTATTTATTTAGTAGGCTGTGATGCTTGGAGAATTTCACTGAAGGTATTTGAACAGCCTGAGTGATTGAGGCGGTTCTTATTCCTTAAATGAAATTGGTGCTGCATCAGAAGTTTAAAACCTGTTCTGAGGTCTTTTCAAAACACACCAGTTTCTAGACAGAAGTCTTTTTTCTGATACGTCCATGTGCCTGGCTTAATGTGAATAAACCCACACCCCCCAGCTGTATTCTGGGTTCAGTTCAGTTGACTTCTTCGTTGTATCTTTGAATCCTTGCTATGCTTTGAGTTTTTAACCAGCTTCTTCAGTTTGTCTTGTGTGGTTAGGAGAAGTACAAATCTAGCTGTTTTATTTCTGCTGTGGGCAAAAGAGAGTGGTTTAATTTAGTACAACCATGCAGTCAATTTGTTTGTTTGTTTTCCTTTAAAGGTGCTCTGCACCATGCTGTATCTTGGAAGCTGTATACATGTGCACCTTGGCAAGTTGCTCGCCGTGCTCAGTGCGTACCTTCTTCAGTCTGAACTCACTATTACTGAACAAGGAAGTTCAGCTTCCTGCTTTGCTTTTGCACATCTGTTCTGGTACTCCCTGATGTGATTTTGCTCACTTCATTGACCGTAAGAAATTGGGCATTGTTTTGCCACGTTAGTGTATTGAAGCTTCCAACCAAAGGTCTGGTGAAAAGCAGAGGAAGAGGGAAGGGTACACCACCTCGTCCAGTCCTTCATGTCAGAAGACTTCATGTGCAGAGCCTGTGGTTCACAACTCAGAGTGGTGAAGGGGGAAGTTTTTGTTGACATCTCCCCATTGACTGGGGCTCTACAGCACAGAGAGGAGTTGATTTTTTTAAAAAAACTTTATCATAGGCTGAATTAAATTCCAATAAATGTGTAGATGTTTATTGGAAACCATTTCACAAGAGAATAGAGACTAGCAGTGTTTTAACTATTGCTGCCTCTCCCACCAAAATGCCAGCACTTAAAGTTGCAATGGAAAGATAACTAGGGCAAGTGCATTCAAAAGGCTGTGTCAGATGGGCAGAGGGAGGGCTGAAATTTGTTAAGTCATGAGAACCAAATACACAGCTCAGAGACCACTGTAAGCAGAAGCTACCACTGAATTAAGAGTGTGGTATTTGTGGAGATGCACTGAGCACATCTGAGGGGAAAATATGACATTTCTTAACTGTGAAAATGATACAGTGATAATTTGTGCAGTACAAGAATGAATATATTTCCAACGTAAAGAGAATGAACTTGAAGCGTCTGATAGATGAGTTTCACACCTGGGGTTTCTTTCCTGTTCTTCCCCACATGGAACGAGTGAGGACAGCAGCAGTAAAATTTCTGTTGGCTGGGGAGGTTTTAAATAAACCAGACTTTTTGAGTTTTTTTTTGTTTTTTTTTTTATGTCAGTGGGCATCAGTAGGACAACAGAACAATATTTAAATCAGGTTTGGGAGCAGTATTGTTTTCAAATAACGTGGTAGCACATGGCATTTTTATTAACAGAAGTGATCAGCTCTTACATTTTTGGCTCCAGTCCCAGAGCAGTCGAAGCCAATAAAAAAGCCTGCTGTAGACTCTGATAGAACCAGAGTCAAATGCTTCGTGACTCACATTTTCCTGAACTCAGTGAGGAAATACACTTCCATGTGGTACTTTGTTTTTGTTCTTCCAGTGAACTCACACGTGCACACACACCCACTTACTCATGAAAAAACCTAAAATATGTGATGTTTATAACGTTGCTCATTGGAGGATTTGAGAAATGAAATAGCAGGCTCTCTTCTTTCGCTGATGCAGAAAAGAGGTTCAGTGTCTTATTTTTAAGTTGACAGAGTTGGAGACGACTTTTCTGACCCTCAGTTATTTGCTGTAAGTAATCACCTGTCCACAGTTGTAAGAGGTTGCATGATGTAACCCTGCAGGATGTCGAAAGGACAACACAAAACTAAGTTTTGGGAAATGGGCCAAGGCGATGGCTAAAGCATTTAAGTACTGTGACATGTTTGAACCTGTTCTGAGAGAAATGAAGTACTGTGTAGTTTTTTCTCAGAATCTCATTTAGAAAAGAGGCAACCCAGTGAACTGCTTGGGAATTTTTTCCCTGTCTAAGATGAGGTAAGTTATGCTTATTTTAATGATATATGTGCTTCGCAAATTGTTACGTTGGCATGTAACCAGTATGTGAATGTCAGTCAATGCACATTTTCAGTACCTTCAGGATCTAAACTGCAGATTCACTGACTATATGAAGTGTTACACTCACAGGTGCAGTTTCTGTACTATTTCTGTAGTTTAATTGCTAAAGAATCTGAACTTTCATGAGCCCTACGAAATCCCTCTCTTTAAAAGTGCCGCTAACACTTCCATTTAATTTATATTTGTCTTTCTTCCTGTCTCTTCCAAAGGCCCACAGTACTCTACTCGTTCAGTATTCTACTCTAAATAACAAGCTGGAGCATCAAAATCACAGCATCACAGAATGGCCAGGGTTGGAAGGGACCTCAAGGATCACGAAGCTCCAACCCCTTGCCACATGCAGGGCCACCAACCTCCACATTTCACAGCAGCCCAGGCTGCCCAGGGCCCCATCCAACCTGGCCTTGAACACCTCCAGGGATGGACGGGGCATCCACAGCCTCTCTGGGCAGCTGTTCCAGCACCTCACCACTCTCATAGGAAAACAATAAAAAAAGCCTTTGATTAAATTATATTTTTGTTGAGTGTACAATGTGCCATGCAACTAATTACTCTTTTTAATCGAAAATAACGATCGCAAAAATACATCAAATTAAGTAATGTTTACCAGCAAAGTCTAAAACGAACCATTGTAATCCAGAAGCAGTAACATATTCACACTTGCAAGATAAACCCATTACATGACTTTCATACTCAAATCTATTACTAGAATGAATAGAAAATCCACACAGCAGTAAAGTATGTCAAACAACACAGTAGACTTGTGATGATGACTGAAAGTATTATGTCACCAGAAAATGGTTACTGTCAATAAAACCAATTAAAATAATGTTCCTTCTAAAGAAACAAGATGAAACTATTAATAAAACACCAATAATATGATGGGATGGCTCAAAGTGCATGTGGAAGAGGGGCGGAACAAGACTTATTCTTCATACATTCTCTCTTCTTAGCAAAACGCCCTTGTGCAAAGAATAGTTCTGCAGCTTTTGCAACAGTTCAGTTCTCCCAAAGGGGATCTTGATTTGCTCCTAGTTGTGCTAGCGATCTTTCACATTTTTGTAAACCATCTTGCAATATGCAAGGTAGTGAACTTTGTAAAAGTTTGTTATACCTCAATAGTCCCTCCTCCCTTTAGGAGGAGGTTTGTAGCTAAGGGGCAGGAAGCGACATAGACTTCCTAAATGCCCGTACCCATTTTGGGGGCCCTGGGTAGGGGGGTGGTGGTGCATCATGTTGTCCGCCTAAAGTAACTGCTTGCTCGTAAGTTGGCAGTCCTGAATCATCAGTTCTGGGAGGAAGTGGATTTAAAGAAAGCTCTTCGTGCCTTCTGAAGGTGGAAGTCGAACTACGTCTTCTGCTTCTTCTATGATCCAAGTGCCTACATGAAATTAACAGCATTCAGATACAGTTTTGTTTTAACAAAGGAAAGAAAGAAGTAGTCTTTCTTGTAAAATTAAAAAACAAACCCCAAACAAAACAAACACCCTTGCCTTTAATGATCATAAATACCAGAATCCAAACACTCTCTTCAAGCTACAGAACTGTAGGAATAGTTCATTAAATTTATAGGGAGGAGAGAGCAGAAAGTCCTCTTGTGCTCCTTGAAGTTTACGATGAAGGAACAAGCAGGGCTAGAGAATTAGCAGAGAAGCATTTTCTCCAACCTAATTCTTTTCACATCTGACATGGAGTGTATGCTCTTTATGGCACTTTTAAGTGTGAAATAAAACACGCCAGACCTTCCATTGTAGGCCCCAACCTATTAAGTGATGCTGTATTTTAGTGTTTTGGATCTAAGATGACACATGCAAAACAAACAAAAAAAAACCAATAACCAGAAGTTACATCAGCCACGCAAGTGTTGTTCTGTTGCTCTATGTTTATGTGTTACTGATTAACTTCAGAGTAACTAGTGCTTACCATTGTAATTTTGCTTTCAGGAAAGTCAGAAATTTCCTATTGGCTTCCCTGAGGACACAGTTAGACCAACCACTAGTGGTTTTTAAATACCACTCTCAGAGACCAAACTGCTTGTCTTGCTTTTAAGCAATGAAATTCCTTACCCTGGTGGTTGCCTTGATTTACATCTATCTTTGCAGCAGTAGAAGATAAGTAGTCCAATTATGGCTAACATTCCTCCAGCAGCAATTGGACCGATTAGAAGTCCTGTAATGTTTATTTTCTGTAGTGTTTCATCACCTGAAAATAAAACATGGGCTATTTTCAGATAGGGTTCTTTCTGTATTCTTGACAGTTTACACTGTGAAGTACTATTTTTCTTATGCTGTTCTTTTTCACAAATGTCTAGCTTGCTCTGAGAAGCCATAATATCTGTGCAATACAAGCTAAGATTGCTGTTCACGTTCATCTTAAAGCAAAAGTGAGCAGATGTTTCCTTTTCTGTACATGAAACTTTGAAGATGTCTCTCCTCCAATGCCTTCCAAATATTATTTCATGTACTTGTGACCTTGACTGAGTTGTAGATCTGCTCTCTGAATGCAGGATGTATTAGAATAAACATGAAATACTGCAATATGAGAAAAGAAGAGAAGGGTTACTTACCTGTTTTTATCCTAGGACCTGTAGTTGAATAGCTGTTCCAGAACTGTGTCTTTAAAAATACAAAGGAGCAGATTTTAAAAAAAGATCCATAATTGGCAGCCTTATTGACCTTTTTTTTAAATACAGCACTGTAACAAAATTTAACAATGGCATGAATGGAAGCAACTCTTGCTGAAGGATTTGAACTTGCTTATTCCAGCATATTTTTGTCATACGCTCAAGTTTGCATAAAAATTGCAACTTCAGAAAGAATATAATACCAGTTCTGAACAACAAAACTGCATTAACTGTCTGATGTTAGATCATACTGAGATATTTTTGCCTGATTACAGCAAAGGCTAGCACATATTTTGATACAAAAAATGCTTGCAGTTAACCTTTGCAAATACCTACAAAAGAATAAAGCAAGTTCTTAAGAATCAGACATTTGCATGAACAGTATTTGAATTCATATTAGAGAAAAACATTTACGTTGCATGATTGCTGTACATCAGCATTTAGCCATAATTTTGCTAGACAGCAAAAAACTCCAGCATGAATCTGATTTAATGCTTTCACAATTGCAAACTAACATTTTCAACTTCAGGTGTTCCTTGCCCTTTCTGAGTTAGGGCAGAGCACAGCTAGGATCAAGAAGAGATTACAGTTTTCTGCAGTGAGTCAGTCTTCAGACAGCCATTATGTTCTATTGCTGAGCCAAAAGATTTTTTATGTATTTTCTCTTTTAATAAAAATTTTATTCCAAGCTGTATGTATGCAGCAATTTAGAAGACGATGCTACAGGAATACTCTTCAATAGCTAAACTGTAGACCTAGCTTGTAGTAGTCCTCTCTTACAAAACACTTGGCATTAGACAAGGATGAAATCAGGCAATTAATACATGGAGCACGTGGAATGCATTTAACCTGGATGCTGACAAATTGCTAAGAAAAACACTGAGATTCTGAAATATGTGTAGATATGTATAGGTATACCTCTTCTATGACAAGAGGTACTTGTGAAGTTTCATTTACATTTCTTTCACAGAATTGGAGCCCTTGTCTGAAGTCTTGAAGGGAATAGTGTAGATGCAAGCTCATTCACTGTATATCTGGAGCAGTAATTCCATCTAATTTGGGCCTCTACTGCCACTATAAAACAAGCAATTGTCTCACTTGTGCTATTTTCTTAAGGGCTACAGAATTTAAATGCAGTAATCATTTTTCAGCAGTCTCTTTCAGTGTATTACATTGTTTGAACAACTACCGTTCTGTCAGTGTCTTCAAAAACTTCTCTGGCCTCCTCATAGCTGCACAGCTCTTCCATACATTCTCTTTCCAGGTTATCAGGTGTGAATGCTTCAAAATCAAATCTGTTGTTCAGAAGATGTCGTCCAATGAATAAATTGGCCTCCTTTGCTGATGTGAACACTAGTTAAAAAAAAAAAAAAAAAAAGGAAGGCTAAATCTTCTGGTTTTTAAAGAATGGGCAACATCCTATAGGACTATGTTGAATCCACTTCTTCCCCTAGCATGTCTCAATTAGGTATAGAAGAAAGAAGCACAGAGCTCTCCCCCTAAAACATCGTCTCTGCTGCTATCTTTTCTAACTATGCAGTATAAAACAGAAATACTTTCTTCCCATAAAGCATTTCAGCTATCCCTTTCAGCCAAGAATATTTGGTTCTCCTGACAGCTGTTGGAAGTTTAAGTTTTAGTATTACTCCTCCTGGGATGTGGGCATCAGAGCCCTTCAGAACAAAGTAATGCTTGCAGAGAGCAGAAATCCAGTCACATTCAAACTAAGCAAAAAACAAACAAACAAAAAAAACCCTCAAAACACATCTATCAATATTCTTCAAGTTTGTTTACACAATTTAGAATTTAAATCATGGCAGCAGAGCCTTATTCACTTCACATTTGTTCTTACTGTTGTGACAGCAAGTTCTGTGTAAAGTCCTGTGCAAATGTTTGTTTGCTTTAAATTAGCGTGTGATAGGAATTTTACTGGCAGCAGACACTTCTGAAGACATTTAATTCTTTTCCCCTTCTGTGCTTACTCTGGGTGCCACGAGGCCCTGTGGAGTAAGTTGTGAGGTAAGATTCCAGAATAGTTAGTGAAACTACAGGAGGCTCTGGAATATAGGAATGCGTTTTCTCACCAGAGATTCTTCATAGTCAAGTTTTAGCCTGTTCTTCCTACAGTTTCATTTAAGAAATATCATCTTCATACAACAGAGCTAGTTTTCTGGCTTGGCTGGAAGTGAAAGTTTAATCTGTTCTCTAAGAAATCCAGACTATTTGGTTCAATAACAGAAGTAGAGGATTGTTTTTGCAAGTGTAATGCATAAACAGCATTGTTTTATACCAAGTCAGAGAGTTAAAAAGGGGATGAGACTCAGAATAAAGGTATTCAGCTACAAATTAGGTGTGTTCTTGTTGGTTTTGCTGGATTATCATATCATTCAGGAATTTTTACCCTCACAGTTAGATAGCTCTTGCAGTGCTTTCTGAAAACATTTTGTCGTCTGTAAACTAAGAAAATGCAAGTATAATCTGCATATTGGTTGTTTATGCTTTTAATATTGTAGTGCATTGAAGAAATATTATGGATAGAAGGAACAGTATGCATGTGTAAGAAGACACATCTTTTACTTCAAAGTAGTCGCATGATAATCTATGCTTAAAATATTGATGCTGTATGTAACAGTAACTAGAGATATGGTCTTCATACAAGTAAAAAAAGTGGAAATTGAAAACAATTACAATGAATGCTACATTATCCGTATTTTGGTTCATTGCAAATCACATTTGAATCATCAAGCAGATCTTTGGTTTTGCTCAGAAGTGTTTCATTCCTTACTGCAAGCAACAGTAGCTATACTTCCCACTTAGATAATTGCTGCACTTTAAGGAATGTGAAGTGTAGAACCCTAAATCCCAGTGATACAAGCTCTTTCACTCTGTCTTTATCCATTTATTTGCTCTCTTTATCACTTTGTAGGATGTAATCAATACACACCTGTCTCCACCTCCCAATAACACACGACCTGGTGATTAAGGAAGTATTTGGAGAATGAAACAGATGAATTTGAATTCTCTGCTAGAAGCAGTTCTGCAGTCCCTGAGCCACAGTTCAACAAGATAGTAAATTCAGTTTTAGCATGTTTAATTAAAAATGCATCCACACAATGTGCTGAATAAAGTCACTCTGGTGGTAAAAGATGCTCCAGAGATGCTGAAGGGGTAACCTCCCACTGTGGGTACCCCACGCTCTTGGCAACTGTTCTTGCTAAATCACTGGATAAAAGAGTTGGGCCCTTTGCTTTCCAGCTCCACCTTGGAGTGATCCAGGCCTTTTTTCTGCCAGGGGAGGGTTCTGTGCTGTGAACTCACACGGAAGAGGCAGCCGGGCAGCTCTCCATTTTGCCCCACAGCAGTATGGATTTTAATGAATAACCTGAGATCAGCACTTTTCTGCTCGACCTGCTGCCCTGAAGGAGTTCCCTCTTCTATGTGATGGCTGTGACAAGCCTGTGTTAGGGTTATGGCATTCCTCGTTCACTGAGAAGACAGGGCAGCTATCTTACAGATTCATTTGTGAAGCCCTGAAGCTGAAATGTTCAGTATCCCATGTGTGTCACAAGGACTCGAGTCCTTCTTGGAGACATCATTTATTTCTACCTTCCAAATTAAGGCACTGCAATAGCAGCAGTGTGCTTTGTTTCAAGGTGATGTAAGGGATATGGTACTGAGGGAAAATATCAGTCCCAGCAAACAAGCAAATAAACCCTTTCAATACAAATGAGTTTTAGACACTCAAATAAAACTAATGTGGTGTGCTCCAAGTGTGGCTGCTCCAAAAGTAACGCCTCCTATTTTGTGATGCCAGTCCATAACATCAGCGGTGGATGTTGGTGGTAAGGCAGCAGATGCCGAACCTTTCCACCAATATCCTGCTGTATTTTGTTGCCGTGGGACAGATGGCAGCAGAGGGGCAGTCTGACAGAACGGTGTCTGACACGGAAGTAACTCCTGTTCATCACAAGTGAAATCAGAATGTTAATGGCAGCAACTACACTGAAAAATAGTATTTTGTAGCTGAGAATTTGCTCTGACAAATAGCGTTACTGCGGTCTTCATAACTGTTGCCATTTCCACGAAAATAAATAGGAGGCATTAGTGTCGGAGCAAACGAAGTACTACCGAAGATTTCTCAGGAGAAACAAAGTTAAGGAAGATACAGTCATTTTTCCGGAAAGCACAAACTGGTGCTGGCAGTGCCTTACCACGCGTGGCGTCGGGCTGCTCCGGGCCGCTCAGTCTCTGTGCGCGGTGCAGAAACCTCGACGCGGTCAGCTGGAGCTGGCAGAGCAGCAGCAGCGGCAGCAGCATGGCGCGTACCTGCCCGACAGAAACCCGCACCTCAACGCACTGACAACGCAACCTCCCGAATGACGAATCCCACACATGAAGTCATCCAACGCAAGTGCCTACACGCCGTTCAGCCCGACGGATCCCTAACAGAAAGCACCGACCCGAACAGGTCCTGCGTGCCATTGCGTAACTCCGCACACGTCGCCGGGGCTGTCCCACCGCGCAACGCCCGCAATGGGGGCACGGGGGTGCACGGGGCAGGACGGACCTCGGGGCAGGACGGACCTCGGGGCCGGCCATCCCGGCGGAGCTGAGCCAGCGCCCTGCGCTCCATAGTTAACCCGCTGGCTTCCAAGCGACGCGCGTCACTGAAACAACCGCGATGGCCCGCGGAAGAGGGGACACTTGAGAGCCCCGACGAGGAGAAGGAGAGCCCGAGCCGTGCCGTGCCGAGCCGTGCCGTGCATACCTGCTCGCCGCAGCTCCGAGCCGAGAGCCAGCTGCCGGGAAGCATCCGCCGCCGTGCTCAGCGCTGAGCGCTTCCTGGAAAGGGCGCGGTGCACTCCAGGGCAGCCCCCGCCCCGCACCGCCCCGCACCGCCGGCTGCACCCCGTCGGGGCGGTCCCACGGCCGGGGCAGGGCTGTGGGACGCTTCGTGGCGCGGCTGCGTGTGTGCTTGCTGCACGGCCGAGCCCCGAGAGAGCAGAAGCGTGCAGAAAAAGAGCAGCGTAGGTTCTCGTTATCCAGGTGACGCTAGGATGGTTAGGGTGCCCAGCCGCTACCTGTTGGAATGAGAAACAGAAAGCTTTTAGAACGGAGGACCCCGTGCAGCAGCTTCTTAACTGTTAAGTTCTTGTAGTTCTGGCTTAGCGTCTCTACTGTGCAGTATTTATCAATCGGTTATGGTGCGATAAGCGGCAGATAGAACCTCTCCCCATTCGAATGGGAACTGTGCTGTTGCCTAATTAAATGAGCCCCTCTAGCGGAGCTCAGAGGGTGTGCACTCGGTGGGTTCCTTGCCGTGCTTTACTTTCTGAAACACAGGCTGTCCTTCAGGCTGTTATACACAGTTGTGTTTGAATTGTGCCCCTAACGTGAATATTTAGTTCTGAACATCTATGCTGCTAACCATTATTTCTGAGCAGTGGATGTCAGCACTTGTAATAGCACATCAATAACAAAAGCAGTCATACCTCCATGCCCCATCCCTGGGGGTGTTCAAGGCCAGGTTGGATGGGGCCCTGAGCAGCTGGTCTAGTATTAGATGTGGAGGTTGGTGGCCCTGTGTGTGGCAGGGGGGTTGGAGATTCATGCTCCTTGAGGTCCCTTCCAACCCTGGCCATTCTGTGTTGTCAGTATGCAAATGTTAATGGAAAAGCTTCTCAGTTAACAGTGCTTACATGGAACAGTCTTGCAGGACTGTGTATCACATGCTTGCCTCTGTACTCAGAGTTTGAAAAAGAACGCAGATGTCTGCAGTGCTGGGGAAGCAAATAGCCCCTCTGATTTTAGCAAAGGGCCCGGTGCTCCCAGCTGGTGAGTGCTGGCCTTGGGAATGCTGCTGGTGTACTAGGATTAAGATTCTGCATTATCAGTTGCTCAAAAAAATAAATAAATAAATAAATAAAAATAAAATGTGCATATTTTTAGATTTAGTAATGCAGAATTATTTTCTCATTGGAAAAGCAAATATGTTATGAGCTTGGTACATGCCTCTGACCTGAGGATTCCAATGTTCAGTGGAAAACTGACAGAATAAAATGGTTTCTTTAAAACAGTGAGCCCCCAGATGATTTTAATGATAAATTAGCCTTTGCTGGATAAATGATTCTATAGACCCTTTAAATTGTCAGGATGTCTCGTGAAGACAGGTACTATGCTACACAACTGTTGTGGCACCTTTAGCTGTGCTGCTATTTTCTTTTAATCTGGGAAGTTCACATGGGTAAGAGGGAAAGAGACGACTTTGGGCTGGAAGTCTGAGCACTGTGTTTGTATTCTGAATGTTCATAGCATTTGTACCGTGCTACTGTAATGTGGCTGATGGGTGTGTGCGCTAATAATGTGTACAGTGTCAAGTATGACAAGCATGTCTTATTGTTGCCCCATTCATGCAAATTTTTTGTTATATATGGTTGCTGAGTCTGTATCAGCTCCAAGATCTTGAGTATACTTCCTATAGAAGTCTTTGTTTTGTTCTTGCGATGAAAGTAGCTTGTGCTGGACTTCTGATACCAAGAATTGCAGGGTCTTCAGTAACCTCCTCCATTAACGTAAGGTAAGGTAATTAAAACTACAACACTAGTAAAAACCTATTTGTTTTTAATTTTTTTTTTAAAACATTACGCTTTGTACTATTCTAATTGTGGGCTGGACCACAGATTTTCTTTCCCAGGGAAAAGTTTTTGGTGACAGGTTGATTATTTTGCCATTGACCTTTTCTCAGATAGTTGAGGTCTGGTCTGTTAGTTAATTTTCATCCAGACTTCCTGTTTTGCTTCTTTAAGTTGCTTTAATGGGAACAATAGGCAAAAACGCTTCAACACTATCTCAGTTTTCCCTTCAGGGTTAAGGCTAAATTATTTCTCTGGGCAAAGAGTATGTCTAAGTCTGTGTTTGTAAATTATGGTTTACGTGTTAACAAAGATGCTATGTGGACTTGACTGAGGTTTTCTAACAAGCTAATAATGAGATAATTATCAAAACAAGTAAAGAACTTGTTCTGCTTCTTTCTCCCAGCTGCACTTTGCAACACTCTTGTCAGCAGTTTTCAAAGAGAACTATTTTGTTAAAAGGGATTAATCAGGTTCAACAATAATGTGTTAATACTTTTGAGACACTCTTGCTTTTGTTCAGTATAAACTTCGCATATTTAATTCCTGTAGTTGATGTTTATAACTAAGATATCCTTTGATTAACAAAACAAGAACTTCCTACTAACTTCCTAGGAAGGAGAGCAGCTGTAACTTATCCCTGCTGTTTGCTTATTCACTTGTAGTCTGTCTTTTCTGGTGGAGAAGAGTTTAATTAAAAGAATTCAGCAGAATTCAATTGGTATGGAGCCCATGTAAAGGAGGTGACTTGAAGAACTTTTCCAAAGGTAAATTGACATTGGCCACATGGGCATTTTTCTTTTGTGTGTAATTTGGAAAACGTTTTTAAAAATTTTTTAAACCTGGAGAATGAATGCAAAATATTCCAGCATATAAATAATATTATCAGCTAGAAAATAATTTGGAATATCTAAGTGATTACTTAAGATGGTCCCTTAAATGTTATTGTTTCTCAAAGATTTTGAAGGTAGTTTGACTCTCTGCATTCATAGCCTCATACTTATAATTTTATTGTATATATAAAGGTGTTATTTCCCATTCTAGACAGAGAAATTCATGGCTTTCATTTGAGAGGTGGTGGTAGTGGTTAGAGTTTGTGTTTGAGTTTATGTAAAGTGCAGCGCCTTTCACAAAAATCATTTTCTAATTGATTTCTTTAGACTAACTTTAAGAAATGAATGATATAGTAGTTCTTTTTGAAAGATGGTTGAAGTTGTTAACCAACTCACTTAAAAAAAAAAAAAAAAAAAAAAAAAAAAAGGAGGTACCTTATATTCATTTGTATAGTTTTAGATAGGATTATGTAGGCAAGGAGACAGAGACTCATAAAATAACATGGAATTTAATACTCACTGAATGAGAGACAATAAGTTATACTCCCTGATTAATGCATTTGATTCATACTTGAGAAAATTAAGTTGTAGGATGTTCTGTTAGGAATTTTCTTGTACTTCTCAGCCAAAAAAGGCTGAAGGACTTGGTGGTCTTAAGGGACTGACAGATCTCCCTTTCCTTGTGAAATAAGCCCTTGGAGTCTGCTGTGGTATTGTTGTGTTCAGTCCAGAACTTATGTTTAATAAAGCATACTGTCTTCTGTAGTATCTAGTCTTTAACTGACTATACAAGAAGATGGAAAATTGGCAATCAACGCTGCTATTTTGTTCTAGTACAAAAGGGCCAGTTCTGCAGAAAAATGTTTCACATTTTTGATTATGAAAGATATTAGGTGAAATGATTGTAGAAATTATGCAATAGAAGACTAAATAAAAATGCTATTGGCATTTAAAGAAGTACTAAAGAACGTAAAATAATATAATGATGCAGTGGTGGAAGTACACCATAGGAAATACAATACAGATATGAAGACGTTGCATAGGAAATGAAGTGAGCAATTTTGAGATGTTTTGTAAATTCATCTAAGTGGAAATGTGCGCATGGAGAAATCTAGACCCTTCTTCAAGCTAAGTGGGTTATGTTTTCAAAAATCATGTTTTTCTTTTAGAGCAATCAAAAGACAATTTCTAATGCATACACTTACATGCATGAAAACATAAACACTTAGGTACACGTAGGGCTGCAAGAATGTAGGTACAAGAATAATAGAGTAGGAAGAAGTGAAGAATAAATAATATGCTATTCAACTGATACTGCACAAATGAGTCTAGAAGAACTGTTCTGAGATGCTTTTCTTCCACATAGATAGCTTTAACAGATTGGACTTGTGAAATCAGTTTTATAATGTTAGAAAACTAAACAAAAAGTAATGTGCTACCAAACTGCCTTGAAAATGTCTGCTTAGGATTAATTTAGAGAATTCTTTCAACCAAAAAGTATGTGTACATATTTATCATGTTAATAAAGATATATTCAATTAATTTTGAAAACCAGAGTAGAAAATTAATTTCCCTCCCACAGTCTTAATGAAGAAATAAAGAAACTAATTTCCCATTGCTGTTAGAGGGGTAATCCACTCCTTCACATATTAAGAAATTAATGTAATACATCCACTCAGCCAAAGAGTCCCTGCTTCTTCACCTGCCCCCAGTCTCTTACATCAGCTTGTTTTGTGTAGTACAATTATGAAAAAGAAAACTGAACAAAACTAACTCTTGTTATGTTTTTCAGACGTCACTGTGCACTAAGCTTAGTCTCACGCTGTTCCCAATAAAGCCATCAATCGAATTGGGTGATATTTGCCAGTTCTGTCTTTCTACTAATAATAACAGCTTTTTTGTCTACTTGATAAACGAATTTAAAAGAATGCAGAAAAAATATTAAGGAAAAATTGTGATTCGCTTTCTATTTCTATATATATGTGACTTTTTCAATGGAGTAACAAGGCCATCTTTTTTGTTTGACCTAGAAGAAAGTTGTTTCTGGGGAAAAAAAAAATAAAATTATTCTAAGGTGTTTGAAATGTGCATTTGAGAGATGGTCAGGATTACAGTACTGGAAACTATCTTTTCTTTTTTTTGTCTTAAGGCTGTGTTCACCTGACTGAAGTAGCTCGCAGGACCCGGCAGTACACTTAGCATTAGTGCAGCCTCTCCTTAATGTGAGGAAGCAACGGAACGTTAACACAGTCTCAGTTTAAGGAAAGCAGTTTAGATTTGTAAAAAAATATAAAAACTGTGAACTTTGATATTAACAATGAAGACTCATGCAGAATTCAGACCGTATCTGAAGATACGGCTCAGTGAGCGTTGATGGAAGTCAGCGGGTGCCATTTTCCCGCCTGGAGGAGCTCAGTGACGCCAGGCGCCATTTTGTCAGCGTGCCCCTCTGCTGCCCTCTGTCCCACGGCAACAAAATGGAGCGGGATATTGGTGGGAAGGGTCTCGTGGAAGTTCGTGCTGTTGTCAGAGACGATATTCTGCCAAAGCACAAAGCGGTGTGAGACAGGTAAGTGCTGCAGGGGCAGATGCTGAGCCCTCAGCCCTCGCTGTGGTGAGGCGGGAAGGCGTCAGTGGGCGCTGTGTGGTGGCTGCAGCCGGCTGGCCCTGTGCTTCCTTCCTCTTCCCGCCCGCCTCTCCTTGCACTGGTGGTACGTACACGTTAATATTTACTGAGTAGAACTAGTAAAATGTCTTGTCATATTGTCTCCTGTGTATCTTGAGAGAAACAAGCGTGGAATGTCCCTGCCTCCCTGGGCGCATAAAGCTGCGGAAGGCTGCAGTGTTGCTGTGGTGTTGGGCAGGGCACCCAGGGAGCAGGGAGAACATCCGCCTGCGTCTGCAGTCTCTGGAGCTCTGGGAGTGCTGCTGAGGAGGAGGAGGCAGAGCCCCGTGCTCCTCACCTGCTGCTGTGTTTCCGAGCTCCTCTTGGAGCTGCTGAGTGGGCACTATTGGTGGTAGGTGGAAAATGTCTTACTCAAAGAGTGGCGAGGCGCTGGACAGGTTGCCAGAGAGCTG